GGTGCCTCTGCGGATGTGTATGCTTTAACTTTAACATAGCCATTTCTGTGACCAGTCACAAGCTAATCACTCAGCCATTTCAATGCTAAAATTATATGCTAATTCCTTTGTCGAGGCGCTTTGTTTCTTCTCACACAGCTTAAAGGTCGTGATCTGAGCGTGGCTTTTTCACTTCAGCGCTGTCCTACCAGACAGTCTCGTCCCTTCACCTGATGAAGGCCGCTTGTGTTGTGGCCGAAACGTCGTGAGAATATTATTGTGTTATTTTATTTTATAAATGTATTATTTTATTCTCATTCTACGTGACTTTACCGAAAGAACCAAAGAAGATGAAGTTCATATCTTGATGGTATCATGTAGTAATGCTTCATCACATGTTTTCAATCTATTACACAGTGAATATTGAACTGAAGCTTGACTTAATTTTTTTTTATGGCAAATCAAATCGCAATATGTCAGAAAAATCGCAATTAGATATCTTCCCCAAATCGTTCAGCCCTAAAACAGACCACTGCGGGCCCTGGCACGAATTGGCGGTTCCTTCCAGGGCCGCAAGCGTTGCAGCAGAACTGCACGAGAATTTGTGTCGAAGGCCGCCGAGAGGTCCAGCATAAGGGCAGAACGCTGTCCCCTGTCCATGGACCGCACACACGAGAGCCTTCTCAGTGCTATGTCCGGCTTCAAAGCTGGAGTGGGTATATTCTTTCAGAAGCCACCGGTCTCAAGACAATCTTCCAACTGGGATGTGACCACATTCTCCAACAACTTCCCAGGCAATCAGAGCTTGGATATCGGGCGTGTTTGGAATATTGTCTTTTGAAGTACCATTTGCGGTGGTGTATTAAGGTATGGGTGGCGTGTTGACGTGTGTTGAATTAGCGTAGTGGTTAGCGCGCTGCGATGTGAACACAGTGACCCGAGTTCGATTCCTGCTCAAGGTCAACACCAGTGACGAATATATTAACCGGTCCTGGGCCTCCCCTAAGTCGACTCAGCCTCCAATGAGTACCTGGTGAAGTATGTAAACATCGCCACTCGGGAGACAAAGGCGGCCGAGCGTGATGCTAGCAAACCACAACCCCGTGTGCCGTGTCGGGCTTTCAAATGAGCTTTCAAACAGCATTTACCCTAACAGTCTGTTCAAGATCGTGACTGCAGGAATTAATATTCTTTGGGTCTTTCGGTAAAGTCAATTAGATAGGTTCAAAGAAATTGCAAAAAATAACAAAAAACTACGACGTTTCGATCGCAACACAAGCGGTAGTCATCCCCTTTTTCCTGATGATGACTGCTCGTGTTGCGATCGAAACGTCGTAGTTTATTTATTATTTTTTGCTATTTTCTTTGAACTTATCTACGTGACTTTACCGAAAGACCCAAAGAATATGGTCTGTTCAAGGCTATATGGGGGATCTCTGTCTTGTCCTCGAAGGGTAAACATGTTTGTTTAACACGTAGGCTTTCGCGACCAATATCATCCATAATTGAGGTTTTTTTTGGGTTAGATCGCGTAAATATATACATGTGTCGGGTGGTGGCGGGTTTTAACGACACATTTCAGCCCTAAATACAGATAATACAGATAATACAGTAATACAAAGTATTATCTGTATACAGATAACACAAAGTATTATCTGTATTTTGATTTAGCGTGCTGATCTTAAAGGTGCATTGAAAAATTTGATACTCCGACCGATGCTTCTGTTGTTGTGGAGTAACTCATGCAGCCAGCTATGGCTCTAGGGTTTGGTGTTACATGTTATTTATGTAGTTTATTGTAAAAATTCGGTCGCAGTCCTTGTGATCACTGTAACGTTGTAATTATGGCTTTATTTTTTGGTGATTTGGAAAAGTTTTTTGGTTTGGACATGTTTGTTTTGTTGTAGTACGGAGTTAGACTGATGGCCTTAATCTAAGTTTTTGTGGTTGTTGTTGTTATTTGACTTGCATCCCACTGGGATTTTATGCACACAGCGTTGGTGTACGGTGCTTTTTTTTCAGGAATATTTTTGCTGTTTTTTTCCATGGATTTTCTGTTTGCACAGTCACATAGTCACTTTAAGATGTTTTTCTTGTTCGTGTTTTTTTTGTTTGTTGTGGTTGCACCCGATTCAAGAGCCGGATGGCTCACAGAACGCAACTGAACATTTATATATTTACGCGGCCAAACCCAAAAAACCTTTATTATGGATGTAAACATGTTGTGCGGCAGGGGGCGCTGTGTTCACATGAATTGACTCCTGAGGCAGAGAAACGAAAGCGAAAGAGAATTCACGCAAAATAAACGGGTTCAGTGAAGCCAATTCCACGAGATCAACTGACTCGGCGAGAGCGGTTTTATTCCCAATTCCCAGTGTCCCTTGCTCGTGACAACCCATCTCGTTGAGGTATCCAGTGTTTCATTTATCATGGAATAATATGTATGTTCAACTTCTTTCGCACCATAATAAAGTTTTTTTGTTAGATCGCGTAAATATAAATGTAAATATAAATGCCACCACCTGACAGCCCATTAGTAAGGGTTGTCACGTAAATAAAACAGGGTAAGTAGTGACTTCAGCACACCGGTGTGTGAGAGAGTAAACTCACAACATTATAAATGCGGTTTGTCAATTTTCTGCTCACGTCACGATTGGTGTAAAAGCGTCCACTCGAGGGAGTTGTCGGAGTGACTTGGTCTCCTCTTCCAACTTTCGCCAGACGTCCGCCACACGCCATCTGCTTTTGAGCGACTGTGGTGAACTCGATTTACGCTGCTGCTGGGTGGACAGAGGCGGTCGGGGAAGGGGGGGGGGTAAGAAACTTGGGCTCCGTTGTTTTAACTGCCGCTCCGGGAGATGGATTAGAATCCGCGACCTCTGGGTGTCAAGTCGAGTGGGCTCACCATGACTCCAACCGCACACAGTGTCCAACCCGCCACCCTGCAGGTCGCAACGCTGCTGTTATGCTCCTTCCCTCGCTCTACTCAATCCCTTTGCCTCTTTTCCCTAGCTGTGAATAACCTTGCTCAATTCAAGAGCTGTATTAACTGTTATCTATTATGACAATAATCGTGCTGTTTGTTGCTGTCCGTTTGGCCTTTCGGGACCTTTGCGTCTGTGCTCTAGAAACATTGCTATAGCGAGAGAAACGCCCTACTACGTGAGCATCGATCATTGCATCACTCTGTTTTCGTGCGGTTTTGATGTCAACCGGTGGATTTCCCCATTCCCAGTGCCGCAACACGCGGCATTGCATGTGTAATGCTTTCAGCCTTGTCCAGACCACCAGCTCGTGAGCTGAATGTGTTATTGTTTAGCTCCATCTACCAAGACGAGTCGAAAAATGCAGCCATTATGAATCATCAGCACCGCACAGGTATCTCGCTGTGTTCCGTCTGCACGCAGGAACCCATCTTGATTAACTCTGCTGATGAGACACTGAATGTCGAAACTGGTCCAGCGTTTTGTGTTGAATCGATGTTACTAAAATCATACACTCACAGAAGGAGGACGTGTGTGCTCATGAAATGGGTAAACAATTATTGTTTGTTTATGTGAAGGGACAGACACGGGGAAAGGGGAGTGTGGACTGTTAAGGAGCACTGGGAGATTGAGCTCAGGGCTCGGCTTGCGAATGATGTCAGAGAAAAGGTTTCCAAGCGAGCGCCACAGCTCCTCATCGCTTTTACTTCTCTTTCTAATCTCGTTTCCTCCTTTTCCCGTCTTCTAATTCTCATCCCGCCTCCCACCTCTTCCTTGTCTCCTCCTCCCCCAATCCCGCCTCCTCGCAACATCATCCTCCTCCCTGTTCCTCTCATCACGTTCGCTGCAAATTGATTATTTTTACTTCCGTCTCCTCTCTCTCTCTGTCTCCCTCGTGTCTCCTCCTTCCCCTGTCTCCCTCGTGTCTCCTCCTCCTGTCTCCCTCGTGTCTCCCTCGTGTCTCCTCCTCCTGTCTCCCTCGTGTCTCCTCCTCCCCTTGTCTCCCTCGTGTCTCCTCCTCCTCCCCTGTCTCCTTCGTGTCTCCTCCCCCTGTCTCCCTCGTGTCTCCTCCTCCCCTGTCTCCCTCGTGTCTCCTCCTGTCTCCCTCGTGTCTCCTCTCTCTCTCCCTGTCTCCCTCGTGTCTCCTCCTCCTCCTCCCCTTGTCTCCCTCGTGTCTCCTCCCCCTGTCTCCCTCGTGTCTCCTCCTCTCCCTGTCTCCCTCGTGTCTCCTCCTCTCCCTGTCTCCCTAGTGTCTCCTCCTCCTGTCTCCCTCGTGTCTCCTCCTCCCCCTGTCTCCCTCGTGTCTCCTCCTCCTGTCTCCCTCGTGTCTCCTCCTCCTGTCTCCCTCGTGTCTCCTCCTCCACCTGTCTCCCTCGTGTCTCCTCCCCCTGTCTCCCTCGTGTCTCCTCCTCCCCCTATCTCCCTCGTGTCTCCTCCTCCTGTCTCCCTCGTGTCTCCTCCTCCTCCCCCTGTCTCCCTCGTGTCTCCTCCCCCTGTCTCCCTCGTATCTCCTCATCCCACCGTCTCCCTCGTGTCTCCTCCCCCTGTCTCCCTCGTGTCTCCTCCTCCTCCTGTCTCCCTCGTGTCTCCTCCTCCTTCCCTTGTCTCCCTCGTGTCTCCTCCTCCTCCCCTTGTCTCCCTCGTGTCTCCTCCCCCTGTCTCCCTCGTGTCTCCTCCTCCTGTTACCCTCGTGTCTCCTCCTCCTCCCCTTGTCTCCCTCGTGTCTCCTCCTCCTCCCCTTGTCTCCCTCGTGTCTCCTCCTCCTCCCCCTGTCTCTCTCGTGTCTCCTCCCCCTGTCTCCCTCGTGTCTCCTCCTCCTGTCTCCCTCGTGTCTCCTCCTCCTCCCCTTGTCTCCCTCGTGTCTCCTCCTCCCCTTGTCTCCCTCGTGTCTCCTCCTCCTTCCCCTGTCTCCCTCGTGTCTCCTCCTCCTCCCCCTGTCTTCCTCGTGTCTCCTCCTCCTGTCTCCCTCGTGTCTCCTCCTCCTCCTCCCCTTGTCTCCCTCGTGTCTCCTCCTCCCCCTGTCTCCCTCGTGTCTCCTCCTCCTCCTCCCCGCGTCTGGCCCCGCCCCGTGCTCCGCCATGAGGCCGCCCCCCGCACCCCGCGTATCCGCGCCGCGTTGAGGTCGAGCGGCCCGATCCAGGAGGACCCAAGAGCAGGGAGCGAGGCCCGGGCCCTCGGGGCCGCGATGTCTGGCGGCGGCGGCGGCGGGGACGAGGAGGACGAGGATTCCCTGGCCCAGCTCAGGTCTCGCTGGGAGCTCCCGGCCATCGCGCACTTCTGCTGGCTTTTCCGCGACGCCTTCGCACTCCCGGCCGCGGCCATCGAGGTGTGAGATGAGCCCCTCAATAAGCGATCCTCCTAGAGGGACCCACAGGGTCCTACGGGTTCCTAGTAGAGGCCCAGGGGTCGGATCCGGTGCGGGCGCCGACAAGGTCCTATGCCTCCGAGCGGGGCCATTGTTCGCGCGGCGGGGTCTGGGGTCCCCGGGCCTGTCGAGGCGAGGACGCGGGAACAAAGCCCGACCCGGGACCCCTGGGACCCCAAAACAATGTGGACCCCCAAGAGCCTGGGGGTCCAGGGGACCCTGCTCTCAACTTCGCGGGCCCAGAGCGCAGGCTTCGCTTCGTGCTACCCCCGCGCGAGAAGCCACAGGACAGGGATGTACAACATCGCATTTAGTTCAATGGCCTCCCCACATGAGGGTTCTGGGGGTTAGCGTGGACCGGTTTGGGGTGGTTGGTCACTGGGGCCCCCGGAGGGTCACGGCTGCTGCAAGGCCTGCGCAGGTCATGTCGTAGCCTGCCTGGCTGTGGATGCGTGCGAGTGTGTGTTGTGTGTGAGTTGTGTATTATGTGAATGTGTGTAACGTGTTTTGTGTGTATACTGTACAAGTGTATTGTGATGTATATGCGAGTATGTACGTATACACTATACATTTGTGCCAGTGTATGAGTGTGAGTTGTGCTCATTGTGTGTGTAATGTGTGAGTACTGTACTAAAAGCACTTGCCCCAACAGCCAGTTATTTCTATACGGGGGATCTTTGTCCTTGTGCTGTGTATGTGTAGGTGTGATATACACGTGTGTGTGTGTACAGTAGGAGTATGCGTGATGTGGTGTATAAACATCGCCACTAGGGAGACAAAGGCGACCGTGCGTGGTGCTGGCCACCCACCCCCTCGTGTGCCATGCCGGACTTCATAGGTGGTGTTACTCGCTCACATCACTTTACCCTACAGTCTGTGAAGGCTATACGGGTGTACTTTGTAGCGTTAACTTGCATGGTGGATCGGTGAATGTGCCACTGTAGTTGCCAGCTACGGGTGGGGGGGGGGCACCATGATGCGTGTGCTCGTGAATGTCTATGTTTGTGTGTCCATGCTAGTGGCACGTTCCACTGGCTGGCGCTTGAAGACCATAAGTCTATTTATTGGGGGCCGTCTTTGCTCATCGCAACCATGCCCGTGGTCGTCTTCGCGGGGGTCTCAAGGATGCAGGAGGCCCCCGATTGATGAGGACGCCAGGAAGGGGGGGGGGCTATGGCCTCTCTGGAGTAGGCCAATCTCGGGCATAGCACAAGCAGCAAGCGGCTGAAGCTTTGCTTCTTGCGCCTGACACCACAACCAGAGGAGCAGCAGCAGAAGCCCATTAACATGACTTTATTGCCGTCAGAACAAATATTTTTTGGGGTCTGCAGAAGCGTTCTCCCACTTTTATTGGGGAATTGGTCTGTCAAGATGGGGGCAGTGCGAATACAAAACTTGTAATCGCAAGTGTTTTTTGCTGGGATGTGCTGTTGCGGCATGCGGGCCCTGTGCCGCCTCCTGCCGGGCCGTTTTGTTTTCAGGGCCATCGTCCCTTCCCCCTTCTCCCCATGTCCAAGATGCGGGGGCAGTGGGGAGTGGGGGAGGGGTGACCCTTTACGGCAGCTGGGGCTCGGGAGAGGCCATTGACTTCTGGTCGTTGCTGCAGTGATGTCTACAGCTTAAAGAGTGTGCAAGATTATTGGCTGCCTATTTTTTTTGTTACCGCTCCCATACTTGAACCGCTTGTTTTCATTTGGGGGCAATTGTGGAATAACAGTCGGGTGTGAATTATCCAATGTCACTCATGCAAATGAGACCGTCCTTGTCTCTTTAGTTCCCGCTTGGTTAAAAAACTAAACTTGACGTGACCCCGTGGTGGAACCATGTGTGCTCAGGATGTGGAGGGCGCTTTGCTGAGGAACGAGACGGAGTTTGAGGAGGAGCTGCTGGTCGCGCTGCTCCAGGGCTGCTACCAGCGGCGTGACATCACGTGAGTCACGCACGTCTGTGCACCTCGCCAAACAAGCATCGCACCACTACACCTTCGGATCGCCACGTCGTCCTCTGCCAGAAGAGTTCGCCTTGCCACAGATGAAAGCGCATGGGCAGCTAGCGAGCGCCGTGCGCAGATTCGGACGTGCAAGGCTTTGGAGCTTCAAAATATGTTCTCAAGTCTGCTTCGCCAATGTTGCTGTGTATGTACGCTTGTGCGCACGCTTGTGTGCGCAGGAGAGAAAATTATGGCTATTACCTCCACGACATCGTGCGGCATCGCTGGGAGCTGGAAGAGGGCCGGGAGAATCCCCTGGATGCTGATGGAGCGGACCGTGTGTTTCTGGAGCTACCCTTGCGCACACGTGTCACGCTGCTGCAGCGGCTATGCGATTACCGGCTGGACGCCGCTGACGTTTACGACGTTCTCAAGGTAAGCGGTGGGGCCCGTGTGGATAGTGAAGATGAAGGCACTGGCGGACTGGCGGGACAGATCCAAGTTATTTTAGTGAACTTCACAAATGGAATGGGGAGACTTGGGCTGAGGTGGAGCTCTGAGAGGCGCTGATTTCCATGCTTGCGTGTCGCCCAGGGTTGGGAGGCCGAGAGTCTTCGTCTTTGTCCGATTGGTGAGGACTCCACCGGCGCTCTCTATTGGTACTTCTACGGCACGCGGCTTTACAAGGAGGAGCCACCACCGCCGCCACCGCAACCTGTGGCCGCCGGCCGGGGCAAGCGGGGCAGGCGAGGGGGCCAGCGAGGGGCCCAGCGTCGGGGCCGGCACTTAGGGCAGTCCGAGTGCAAGAGAGAAGGCCGGCAATTGGGCCGGCCGGTGGGAAAGAAGGGGTCAAGGTGAGGTCCGATTTTTTGTTTCTCTGCCCCAGATACCAACCAGAACAACTATAACAACATACATCAATAATTTGCTCATAATGTAACAAACTTCTCACAGAGCAGACAAGAGGACATCCCAACAGTTTTAAACGCATGTCGCAACAGCACATCCCAGCAATAGAATCGCTGCGTGTTTATTACAGGGGAGCTGCCACAGTGTAATAGCTAACATACTGTACTTTCAATCCAGAGGTTGCCGATTTGATTTAATCTCCTTTTGGTCGGCTGATGAAACTATGGGGCGAATTTATTAAATTCCTCCCACCCTCCACTGCCTGTGTCCATCTAGCAGTGTAAATGTGTTCACCAAAGCTCGTTGATTGGTAGGTCACGTTTGGTGGGTTAAAGTGTGGGTACTCCCACCCCTTTCAATACATCTGATAAAATGTCCTCCAGAGTTTGCTCTTGTGGGGGGAGGTCATGCTACCCGCAGGGGTGTGAGCGAGCCATTGCCGGTTTATAACAGACTCAATGCGCGAGCATCACCGAAATTTATTTTGCCGATCAGGAAATTAAAACAGCGAGAAAAGAAGAAGACCAGGAGAGGTGATGGGAAGAGGGGGAGACGAGGGCGTGCCTCCCGGGCAGACACCGGCCGGGAGCAACAAGAGGGCGCACACAGCGCCCGCGATTGGAGGTTCGTCCTGGCTCCCTCTGCCTCACCCAGGGCTCTTCATCTGCGCGACAGTGCACCGGATAACGCATGTTGGCGCTAATTCCATTACATCAATGTCCTTGGTTTGCTCCTCCATATTAAGCACATTTTGATGGGTGTTAACCTGCCGATTCTGTGAAAACTTCACTTATTGTTTTTGACATGTGTCCTTGTCTATTTACATACCAGTGTAATAATCGCTCTGAATTTGTTCCCGTGGTTCTGTAACAAAAACATTCTACGAGTGATTTAAAGCTTTCGTGACTGCATGGATTCATATTCTTGGTTCTTTCGGTAAAGTCACGTAGAAGGGAAACAATAAAATAATACAAATATAAAACAATAAAATTATCACGACGTTTCGACTGCAACACAAGCAATCATCATCAGGTGTGAAAACCATAGTAAGAAAATTTGAAAGAAATAGCGTTTTTTTTTTAAGTTAGCACCACGGAGAGCGATTTGGCAGTTATTCAGATGGACGAGTCCATCTATGTTCGGAAAAGAGGAGAGGGGAGACGAAAATAATGGATGCGGTCTGAAAGCCACCGTAAGCGTGAACAATCGATTAAGACCCGAAATGGTTTATCATATCCTTCCAATGATTGCTAAGCCAGAATCCATCTTCTCGGTTGAAATTGTCTCCGTGTTTGTATATGTGGATAGCCTCATGAACGAATCTCTCATGGTAGCCAGATGGCTTGCAAAGAACCTCTGTCTTGGAGAAGTCAATGTCATGTGAGCCTACTGAATTATAACAGTGATCTGCCACGGCCGAGGTGTTGGTCCTACCGTGTTTTAGGTCTGCTTAGACGCCAGGGTACTGTATGTCCGGAATCACATCTTTTACAGACGGAACCAGATCACGGATTTTATGTAATGTTTTGAATTGGACCTGGATCTTGTGTTTATTCAAGATTTTGGAGATTTTTTTTGTGATCCCCGCAATGTAGGATAAAGTGATGGTTTTGAAAGGCTCCTCAAGAGGGTCCTTCTTCATGGTTGGAGTGATAGCTTTGCGGATTGTATAGTCGGAGTAACCATTAGCCTTAAGAGCTTGGTGTACATGCTTGAGTTCACTGGCTATGTGTTCCTGGTCGGATATGCATTGGGCTCTATGGTGCAGAGTCTTGATGAGGGAATTCTTCTGGGATGGATGGTGGTGGGAATCCGGTTTCAGGTAAGCATCCGTATGGGTAGCTTTCCTGTAGACAGAGTGGCTCATTGAACCATCAGGTCTCTTTTTTATTAGGACATCCAAAAAAGGTAGCTTGCCATCTTTTTCGACTTCCATGGTAAACCTTATGGCTGGGTGTACACCCAGCCATCAGATTTATCATGGAAGTGGAAAAAGATGGCAAGCTACCTTTTTTGGATGTCCCAATAAAAAAGAGACCTGATGGTTCAATGAGTCACTCTGTCTATAGGAAAGCTACCCATACAGATGCTTACTTGAACCGGATTCCCACCACCATCCATCCCAGAAGAATTCCCTCATCAAGACTGCACCATAGAGCCCAATGCATATCCGACCAGGAACACATAGCCAGTGACCTCAAGCATGTACACCAAGCTCTTAAGGCTAATGGTTACTCCGACTATACAATCCGCAAAGCTATCACTCCAACCATGAAGAAGGACCCTCTTGAGCCTTTCAAAACCATCACTTTATCCTACATTGCGGGGATCACAAAAAAGATCTCCAAAATCTTGAATAAACACAAGATCCAGGTCCGATTCAACACATTACATAAAATCCGTGATCTGGTTCCGTCTGTAAAAGATGTGATTCCGGACATACTGTACCCTGGCGTCTAAAAACTAAGTTGTGTCTGTGGTAGTAGTTACATTGGAGAAACCAAACGACATGTCTCGGACCGCATTCGTGAACACAAAGCAGACCTAAAACACGGTAGGACCAACACCTCGGCCGTGGCGGATCACTGTTATAATTCAGTAGGCTCACATGACATTGACTTCTCCAAGACAGAGGTTCTTTGCAAGCCATCTGGCCACCATAAGAGATTCGTTCATGAGGCTATCCACATATACAAACACAGAGGCAATTTCAACCGAGAAGAAGGATTCTGGCTTAGCAATCATTGGAAGGATTTGATAAACCATTTCGGGTCTTAATTGATGGTTCATGCTTACGGTGGCTTTCAGACCGCATCCATTTTTTTTCGTCTCCCCTCTCCTCTTTTCTGAACATAGATGGACTCGTCCATCTGAATAACTGCCAAATCGCTCTCCGTGGTGCTAACGTTAAAAAACCGCCACTTTTTTCAAATTTTCTTGCTGTGGTTTTCACACCTGATGATGATTGCTTGTGTTGCAGTCGAAATGACGTGAGAATTTTATTGTTTTATATTTTTATTATTTTATTGTTTCCCTTCTACGTGATTTTACCGAAAGAACCAAGAATATATATTCTACGAGTGGTTTTTAAAAAAGGAATATGTCCAAGCCAATTCTAATTACAGGAAAGTGATTTAATGTAATAATTAATGTTTGCGCATTATGTTGATTTTTTTTTCTGCAACGTGGTTGTTTTGCTCTGATTCCTATTTGATTGCTCATGTACTGATTTCCATTTGCTCCATTGTTGTACTGTTGTTTTATACGATTGCTTTAGTAATTTTTGTCGACACCGGTCACTCTTGCATATAAGAGACTCGTCTTGGTCTCTCTCGACTTCTCACATCGTTAGACAAAATAAACCTGAATTGTGCATCGGTGAGCTTGCGTCATCAGCTGCTGTCATGCGCGCGTGAAGCAGCGACACTCCTCTGGAGAGCGATGCTGACTCGGAGCACTCTGACTGGAGGGAGACGACCAGAGCCAAACCGCGCGCATCGCAAGCGGAAGAACTCTGGTAAGTGACTGGCCACTGCAGGCACTCGTTTGCGGTTCAAACCCAGCGGGCCATCCTGATTTATCAATGTGTTGTATTCACCATTAAATAAGTGCCGTCTTCTTCACCGTGGCCGTTGAAAAATCCCGTTATGTCAAATGTGAAGAGTGTTCTGGTGTAATGGTCCAAATTTGTTGTATTTGAAACATCCACTGCAAATTGCCCAATTAGAAGACACAGACAACATTGCCCCATACTGTAAAACTACTGCATACTGTCTGTGAAACATAGCAGTGTCTTCACGACATCCTTGGGCTATAAGAATGGCACGATACCACGAGTACTTAACGTTACATTTTTATTACGACACCGGGAATTTTACTGCTGCTCATTGGCAGGTTTTGCATTGCGTAGAGATAAGGCAGGGCAAATTTGCTAAGCGTGCACGTGTGCAGGACCTGTGCCCATGGCTCGTCTCGGCGCCTGGTCCCTGGTGTGCGAGTATCTCCCCGAGTGGCAGGCGCTCGCTGATTCCTTGCAGCGCAGCCGCTCTTTCAAGGAGCGCCACCTCTACCGTACGCTGGTCGGGTCTCTCATTCCCCACGTGACGGCCACTGCCGCCGAGAAGGTACGCAAACTTGTGGGTGGGGTGCGGCGCGATAGCCAGGGTGGGGTGGGCCATGTGGGCCTCTCGAATGGCTCGCCGGATTGTTGGGAACAAAGTGAGCGGTGGCAGCCAGTGGCCCTCTGTGGGCGAATCCCTCGCGGTTTTCTTGTGGTGTTTGTGCGATTATGTTTTGCTCTGCTTCACCGTAACGCACGTTTGGCTGTGGTGCGCGAGCGCAGGAGAAGACGCTGCACAAGCAGTTGCTGGAGATGGCTCCTCGCCGTGCATCTGACCGTCTCACCGTCAAACGTGTGCAGCAGGAGGAGGAGGCAAGAGGAAATATTGTTCATGCGCACGTGCGCCCACACATATACAACAAAGACAAAGATCCCCTGAATAGCCTTAGACTTTTGGGGCAAGTCCTGTTAGCGAGCACCTAAACAGGCCGGCATTGTACACAAGGGGGTGGATGGCCAGCACCACGCTCGACCGCCTTTGTCTCCCTAGTAGCGATGTTTACACACTGTACCAGATACTAATTTTAGGCTGAGTCGACTTAGGAGAGGCCCAGGACCGGTTCAGATAATCGTCACAAGTGTTGGCTGCGAGTGGGAATCTTATTCAGGTAGCCAGGTTCATAGCACAGTGTGCTAACAGGTATACTACCACTCCAAAGACATACACGCATACATGCGCATGCCAAATGCTCTGAGCATAGACGCAAGTTTTTCACTGCCGTGGATTCACCAAGATGGTTATGTGGTATGAAAGTGATACAATATCAAGATGTCATCATGGCCGAAGGTAATGATGCTGCCACACCTCGTTAGCTCTTTCTCCCCTCCGATCAATCCTGCAGCTGCTGCACAGTAGAACAAGATTTGCTGACAATATTTAACCATCTGCTCTTAAGTCTGTCTTGGCAATCAGCCCTTCCCCATCCTGCACAAATGTCTAACCCAGCACGCCTTTTTTTCCTCGTATCTATGTGGTGAGAAAGCGAAACAAAGCGTGTTTAATGGGAAAGTGTGTGCGCCGCGTGTTGCTGGATCTGTGGGGGTGCAGGACCGACTGTTGGCCATCCGCGAGGTGGAGCAGGAGAAGGAGCGAGAGCGGCGGCGCGCCGAGCGGGAAATTAGGAAAGCTGAGAGACGTCGCAGGGAGAAGGAAGGTACTCGCACGTGGCGCGGCCGCTCTGGTGTCTGTCGCGTGAGCCTATCGTGTTCCGTACGCTGAGCTCTACGTGTCGCACACCGTGTGCCATGCGTCGTGCATCATGCTCTTGTTTGTCATGCACTTTGTGTCAAGCGCTATGCGTCAGTGCTTTTTGGCAGCGCTGTGTGCCACGTTCAAGTCGTGGTGAGTGCTCGCTCACCGCATGCGGTGGCCTTGTGTTGCAGGGCGGCCTCACCATAAACACCGGCGAGAGGAGCAGTTCCTTGTGGAGTCACAGGGACAGAAGCCAGTTCCAGAACTCGGTGACACGGGCTCCCAACCCGTGTCCGTCACTCCACATCCCCTAGGAGACACGTGGGTCTCGCACACTAAGTCGTACACACGAACATCCGCACAGCTGCACTAACATCCTGTGTGGTCGTGTCACAGCACAGCGGTGCTTAGACGTGTTTGGGGCAGTGACATGGCTCAGCGGTAGCACGTTTGCTGCTTGTTGCAGATGTTTCTGAGTTAAATGCGGAGGCCGCCCTGGATAATATTGTGGATGTACTAACTGTAAAATACGCACCGTCTGCTTCGCAATGGACATTCCGGATCCCGTGACGTCATTCAAAAGAGAAGTAGGCCATTGTGTTGCTGGCGTTTCAGTCCAAGTTTTGTCAAATTTGAAAATTTACCCACAAATTACTCAATGGAAATTACGCACACACAGCACCATTGCCTCCTGCTGTGAAGCTACTGCCGACTGTGTCTGTGAAATACATGAGCGCTATAAGAATGACGTGAACACTGATTGTATTAAGTTGTTAATTATTATTATTATTATGCTTGATTTGCCATGCAGGTTTGAACTGGATGAGGAATATATATCCATGTTTAAAGGTACGAATTTTGCATTTCTCACACATTTCGATCATCAAGCGTGTGCATTGTTTTAAAAACATCTTTGCTGAGCACAAAGATCCCCCCATGTAGCTAAACATACTTTTGGGGTAAGTGCTGTTTGTGAGTAAGAGGCTGGCATGATGCACAAGGGGGTAGGTGGCAAGCACCACGCCCGACCGCCTTTGTTTCCCTACTGCCGATGTTTGCGCACCGCACCAGCTACTCGTGTGATGCTGAGTCAACATAGTGGAGACCCAGGACTGGTTCAGTTTATGAAGTTCACAGTGCGTAGCGATAGAAGAGTGAATAGGAGGCAACTGATCACCAGTGAGCGAGTGACCGGAGTCAATCAGTGAGTGCTGGATCATCAATCACCTTGTGACTGCTGCTCTCTGGTCATCTCGATTAGGTGCAGCGATGTAGGGACTGGATGCTCCACCAAGACATGACAACAGGACTCCATATTTGGCTGAATTTGTGAGTTGTATACTACTGTTTGACAAAGGAGTGGTTGCTGATGAATTTGTTCATTGCTCAGTGCTCGAGGCCGTGAAGGCGCACAAGGATGCATGGCCATTTCTGGAGGCTGTGGACGAGGCCTATGCTCCGCACTACTACGACATCATCAAGGTGAGCAGTGTAGCTGCCGCTGCCATCACTAGCGTTCTCTCCTGCCTTACAAGCTCCAATCGCTGTAAAGGACCATATTCGCAGTTATGGCTCGGCTCGGCCTGGCCTCTGACACGGCTTGGCTCAGGTGCGTGAGAGGCTCTGCTGTGGCTCGGCTGTGGCTGGGCTCAGCCTTGGCTCGTGGAAATCCCGAGTTCGATTGGGACCAGGCTCCGAGCCGGCTCGGCTCAGGCTTGGCTGAGCCGAGCCGTGACGAAGATTACGGGGCCTATTCGCTCTGGTGTTTATGTGACTCGGTTTTCCGTGTGCCGTGCAGAGCCCCATGGACCTGGCGAGGATCGAGCGCAACCTGAGTGCCCAGCAGTACCAGTGCAAGGAGGAGTTGGTCGCTGACGTGAAGCTCATGTTTGAGAACTGCCGTCAGTACAACGGCGAAATCAGCGGTACGGGTGCCACGCATTCAAGGGGGTGACAGGATGAGGCGAGGAGCAATGGTCATTGAAGCTTTGTTATTGGTACCACCCAGGATGGCACATCATAACATTGATTTTTGTGAAGAATGTTAGCTCTAGATCGCAAATATGTATGATAGCATGGCTACTGTTAGCTTTGTAAGAATTTTTTTCATTATGTGGATACCATGACGTATAGAATTTGATGTTAAACGTTTGCGGAATGTTAAAATAAATAGGAAGTGTGCAGTGTGAAACGGACTGCATGTACCCTAAGCTTCTGCCCATGGTGGCTACTGATAGCATTAGCCACCTCAGGTGATACCGAACAACTCCCCTTTGCCTCCTACCCGGATCACCCAGAGTGCCATCTATCTGTTGCTATAATTATCTAGGTCAGAGGGGATGGGGGGGGGTGAAGTTGGTTAAGGGTTGCAGGTATGGGGGGAGTGGGAATGGGGTTCAGGAAAATTGGACATTTTTAGTCTGTGGGGATGCGTACATCCGGTGTTATACATTTTCTCCGAGCTGGATACACATTTGTACTTGAGCGATGCGTGATGGAGACTGCATGCTGTGCTGTGCTGTGGGTGGCTGGCGAGTGCAGAGTACACACAGATGGCCGAAAGCCTTGAGAGCGTGTTCGACCGCGCGATGACGAAGCACTTCCCCGGAGAGAGCGGGGAGAGTGCAGACGAGGCCCTGAGGGGACCCTTGGGTCACCGCAACAAAAGGGGCGGCAGGAGGGGTCGCGGCGGCGTGCGCGGGGCCCGTGGGAGGGGCCGCAGGACCGTCGCCGCCCGGAGGGAGGAGGACTCTGAAAGCTCCGACTCCAGTTGGGATGGTGAGGGGCCTCCCTCCGGCCCATACCGCGACAGCGACGGCGCCAGGGGGCGCAGTGACGAGTCGGAGGAGCGCGCGAGGCGCTGGACCCGTGCGGCGCCTTCGCGTGACGGACACGGGAGAGGCGCGTATGGGACGGAGCGGCCACGTGCCCACACGAAGCGCGAAAGGGATGCCCTCAACTCCAGCAGCGAAGACACGCGCGGCTCTGAGTCAGAGTCGCGATCGGCATCCGAGTTGGAGGAGGAAGAGGAGGAGGCAAGGGCCGAGCCTGTCAAGCACGAGAGGGAAGCGTCTGTGGAGCACGGGGATGTCTCGTCGCCAGGCAGGGAGCAGAGCAGGGCCGAGCTGCACCGCGGGGCTTCCCCCACCCTCCCCTCCGAGTGGACACCCACCCCAGTGAAGGTGAGATCCCTACAGCCCGTGGGTTCCTCAGTCAGACCCCTACAGCCCCTGTGTCCCTCAGAGTTCCCGTCTAAACATAAGTGCATGACAGCTGTGAGCGTGAGCACACAAGGCCGTGTGAATGTGAGTACACGCGAGTACACGTGTAGATGTTTTGTGGACAGAAGCAGCCGCTGGTGGATGGCGTGGGTGCGGAGGAAGTGAACGCTGCGCGACCCCGCAACCCCTACTACTCGCTCTCCAGACAGGTGGGACCCACACTCCTCTTGCCGCCATGAGCGGTGGCACGGTGGTAACGCCTGTGTTTGTATGTACAGTGAGGGAAAAAAGTATTTGATCCCCTGCTGATTTTGTATGTTTGCCCACTGACAAAGAAATGATCAGTCTATAATTTTAATGGTAGGTTTATTTGAAAAGTGAGAGACAGAATAACAACAGAAAAATCCAGAAAAACGCATGTCAAAAATGTTATAAATTGATTTGCATTTTAATGAGAGAAATAAGTATTTGACCCCCTCTCAATCAGAAAGATTTCTGGCTCCCAGGTGTCTTTTATACAGGTAACGAGCTGAGATTAGGAGCACACTCTTAAAGGGAGTGCTCCTAATCTCAGCTTTTTACCTGTATAAAAGACACCTGTCCACAGAAGCAGATTCCAAACTCTCCACCATGGCCAAGACCAAAGAGCTCTCCAAGGATGTCAGGGACAAGATTGTAGACCTACACAAGGCTGGAATGGGCTACAAGACCATTGCCAAGCAGCTTGGTGAGAAGGTGACAACAGTTGGTGTGATTATTCGCAAATGGAAGAACACACAAAAGAACTGTCAATCTCCCTCGGCCTGGGGCTCCATGCAAGATCTCACCCCGTGGAGTTGCAATGATCATGAAAACGGAATCAGCCCAGAACTACACGGGAGGATCTTGTCAATGATCTCAAGGCAGCTGGGACCATAGTCACCAAGAAAACAATTGGTAACACACTACGCCGTGAAGGACTGAAATCCTGCAGCGCCCGCAAGGTCCCCAAGAAAGCACATATACATGCCCGTCTGAAGTTTGCCAGTGAGCATCTGAATGATTCAAAGGATAATTGGGTGAAAGTGTTGTGGTCAGATGAGACCAAAATGGAGCTCTGGCATCATCTCAACTCGCTGTGTTTGGAGGAGGAGGAATGCTGCCTATGACCCCAAGAACACCATCCCCACCGTCAAACATGGAGGTGGAAACATTATGCTTTGGGGGTGTTTTTCTACTAAGGGGACAGGACAACTTCACCGCATCAAAGGGACGATGGACGGGGCCATGTACCGTCAAATCTTGGATGAGAACCTCCTTCCCTCAGCCAGGGCATTAAAATGGGTCGTGGATGAGTATTCCAGCATGACAATGACCCAAAACACACGGCCAAGGTAACAAAGGAGTCGCTCAAGAAGAAGGACATTAAGGTCCTGGAGTGGCCTAGCCAGTCTCCAGACCTTAATCCCATAGAAAATCTGTGGAGGGAGCTGAAGCTTCTAGTTGCCAAACGTCAGCCTCGAAACCTTAATGACTTGTAGAAGATCTGCAAAGAGGAGTGGGACAAAATCCCTCCTAAGATGTGTGCAAACCTGGTGGCCAACTACAATAAACGTCTGACCTCTGTGATTGCCAACAAGGGTTTTGTACCAAGTACTAAGTCATGTTTTGCAGAGGGGTCAAATACTTATTTCCCTCATTAAAATGCAAATCAATTTATAACATTTTTGACATGCGTTTTTCTGGATTTTTTTTGTTATTCTGTCTCTCACTGTTCAAATAAACCTTCCATTAAAATTATAGACTGATCATTTCTTTGTCAGTGGGCAAACGTACAAAATCAGCAGGGGATCAAATACTATTTTCCCTCACTGTATATTGAACTTTTTTCGCACTGTACATAGCCAACCGTGCTAATCAGAGGTGTGGGAAAAAATTGGAGGTTCAGTTCCTGACTGGGGCAGCTTTCTCCATGGAGTTTGTTCTCTTCCTCTGTTCTGCATGGGTTTCCTTCCTCCGCATTCTCCAAATTCTTCTCGTAGCTAAAAAAAATCTAACAATAAATGTAACTGGTCTTGATTTAAAGCTTTCGTGACTGCTAGGATCCATACTCTTTGGTTCTATTGGGTAAAGTCACGTAGGTGAAAATAAAATAACAAAAAATCACGACGTTTCGGCCACAACACAAGCGGCCTTCATCAGGTGAAGGGACGAGACTGTCTGGAGGACAGCGCTGGAGTGAGAAAAGCCACGCTTAGATCACGACCTTTAAGCTGTGTGAGAAGAAAACAAAGCGCCTTGACAAAGGAATTAGCATATAATTTAGCATTTAAATGTTTCATTGAAATAGCTAAGTTAAAGTATACACATCCGCAGAGGTACCCCTTGACAAAGGAATTAGCATAGAATTTAGCATTGAAATAGCTGAGTGATTAGCTTGTAACTGGTCACAGAAATAGCTATGTTAAAGTCAGAGCATATACATTCACCGAGGCACCTAGTACTAATCAAACAGGAGAATTTAGCGAGACACAACCACGCTCAGACAGCGGACCTTTAAACTGTGTGCGAGCAAACAAGGTGTTCTGACATTTTTATGCTAATTTCTTTGTCAGAACACCTTGTTTGCTCGCACACAGTTTAAAGGTCCGCTGTCTGAGCGTGGTTGTGTTTCGCTAAATTCTCCTGTTTGATTAGTACTAGGTGCCTCGGTGAATGTATATGCTCTGACTTTAACATAGCTATTTCTGTGACCAGTTACAAGCTAATCACTCAGCTATTTCAATGCTAAATTCTATGCTAATTCCTTTGTCAAGGGGTACCTCTGCGGATGTGTATACTTTAACTTAGCTATTTCAATGAGCCATTTCAATGCTAAATTATATGCTAATTCCTTTGTCAAGGCGCTTTGTTTTCTTCTCACACAGCTTAAAGGTCGTGATCTGAGCGTGGCTTTTTCACTTCAGCGCTGTCCTACCAGACAGTCTCATCCCTTCACCTGATGAAGGCCGCTTGTGTTGTGGCCGAAACGTCGTGATTTTTTGTTATTTTATTTTCACCTACGTGACTTTACCCAATAGAACCAAAGAGTATGTAACTGGTCTTGGCCAAATATCCCAAAAACGTAAACATTTGGATATAAAATTTTGATTTAAAGCTTTCGTGACTGCAAGGATTCATAGTCTTGGTTCTTTCGATAAAGTCACGTAGAAGGGAAACAATAAAATAATAAAAATATAAAACAATAAAATTCTCATGACATTTCGACTGCAACACAAGCAATCATCATCAGGTGTGAAAACCACAACAAGAAAATCTGAAAAAAGTGGCGTTTTTTTTGCGTTAGCACCACGGAGAGCGATTTGGCAGTTATTCAGATGGGCAAGTCCATCTATGTTGGGAAAAGAGGAGGGGGGAGACGAAAATAATGGAAGCGGTCTGAAAGCCACCATAAGCGTCAACAATCAATTATGACCCGAAATGGTTTATCAAATCCTTGCAATGATTGCTAAGCCAGAATCCATCTTCTCGGTTGAAATTGTCTCTGTTTTTGTATATGTGGATAGCCTCATGAACGAATCTCTCATGGTAGCCAGATGGCTTGCAAAGAACCTCTGTCTTGGAGAAGTCAATGTCATGTGAGCCTACTGAATTATAACAGTGATCTGCCACGGCCGAGGTGTTGGTCCTACCGTGTTTTAGGTCTGCTTTGTGTTCACGAATGCGGTCCGAGACATGTCGTTTGGTTTCTCCAATGTAACTACTACCACAGAGGCAACTTAGTTTGTAGACGCCAGGGTACTGTATGTCTGGAATCGCATCTTTTACAGACGGAACGAGATCGCGGATTTTATGTAATGTGTTGAATTGGACCTGGATCTTGTGTTTATTCAAGATTTTGGAGATCTTTTTGTGATCCCTGCAATGTAGGGTAAAGTGATGGTTTTGAAAGGCTCCTCAAGAGGGTCCTTCTTCATGGTTGGAGTGATAGCTTTGCGGATTGTGTAGTCGGAGTAACCATTAGCCTTAAGAGCTTGAGTTCACTGGCTATGTGTTCCTGGTCGGATATGCATTGGGCTCTATGGTGCAGAGTCTTGATGAGGGAATTCTTCTGGGATGGATGGTGGTGGGAATCCGGTTTCAGGTAAGCATCCTTATGGGTAGCTTTCCTGTAGACAGAGTGGCTCATTGAACCATCAGGTCTCTTTTATTAGGACATCCAAAAAAGGTAGCTTGCCATCTTTTTCGACTTCCATGGTAAATCTGATGGCTGGGTGTATGGAATTGATGTGGTTGAGGAATTGGTCTAGAGCAGGCCGGCCATGTGGCCAGATGACAAAAGTATCATCCACGTACCTCTTCCATAAGGTTGGGCGCAGAGTGGCAGTCTGGATGGCGTCAGTCTCAAATTTCTCCATGAAAATGTTGGTTACAACCAGAGATAGGGGGGAGACCATTGGGGTGCCCTCAGTTTGTTTGTAGAAAGTTCCATTCCAAGTGAAGTATGTATTGGTTAAGCAGTGTCTCACCAGGGGGGGTACCTCAGTGTTTAGTCCTTGATGAACCAAGTCTTCAATGATTGCGATGGTGTCAGGTACAGGAACTTTTGGTGAATAAGGAAACGTCGTGAGAATTTTATTGTTTTATTTTTTTATTTTTTTTATTATATTATTGTTTCCCTTCTACGTGACTTTACCGAAAGAACCAAGAATATTTGGAAATTACTCAATTTGGATTACACACAAAACGTGACAGGACCCTCGTGAAAAAGTGTCTTGAGACTCAATAGCGAGGTTCTCCTGGGTAAACGGAGCGTAATAGGAAACCCCAGCTGTGTCCTCTGTGATCTAACCCCACCGTCTGTGCTCTAACCCCACTGTTTGTGATGCAGCAGCCAGCGGCGCCAGAGCCTCGGCCCTTCCCCTTGCCTACTTCCCCCGGCGCGAGCTCCGCTTCTGCCCTCCACCTACCACAAGGCCCGGTAAGGCGCCGGCTCCCGCTGTTGCTCACCGGGGCACCAGCAGCGCTGTGGTGCAGCACATGTGCCATGCACATCGCACAGGGAACACAGATCCCAAGCGTCACAGTTAAATAGTTAATACTTATCATTATTATGCATGTGTAACCGGGAAAGCCTCGCTGAGTCTCTAAGACTTTTTAAAGAGGGTTCTGATAAGTTGTTGCAGTCGGGGGCGATGTTGCTGCTGTGTGGAATCTCAATTCACTAATATGTAGGGAATTTTTCAGCATTAGTATGTTTGGCCAACACCAATTACACTGGGGCGCTACGATGGCGAGATATGAACTACCTTGCCCGGTATACAGGAGGTTGTGGGTTCTATCCCAACCCTGACGCCTATTTATTTGGAGTTTGCTTGTTCTCCCCATGGTCGCGTGGATTTGTTTCCACGTCCTCCAGTTTTTCCCTCCACATTTAGAAACATCCGTATAGCCTATTTGGCTGCTATAAATTTCCACATGAGCCAATTTGTTGAGCTGTCATTTGTGGCCAGGTCGCTTCTGAAAAAGAGCTATATAGAGCTCAGTGGGCTGAAACTGGTAAGATATAATTCGTTTTTAATAGTTTAGTTTTTTATTGTGTGGTTTTGTTAGCTATGGTAGGAAAGCAGAGAATACAGAGGAATTCTAGATTTGAAGCTTTCGTGACTGCAAGGATTCATACTCTTTGGTTTTTTCGGTAAAATCACGTAGGTAAAATAAAATAAAAGAAAACAACTAAATTAAATCACGATGTTTCGGAGGCAACACAAGCTTCCGTCTTCAGGTGGAACAGTTACAGCAGAATATCTGTGTCAAGTGGACAGCTCTGAGACAGCCGGGATTATATACAGGTTAAGGGGGGGGGAGGAGCCAGGAAGGGACGTGGGTGGGGGGGAGGGCTGAGTTAAGCCGCCTTTTGTTATGCTGCAGGGGGTTCGGGGGTAGCGGTGGTGCACTGCACGAAAACGGGTAAAACACCATTTTGTTATGCTGCAGGGGGTTCGGGGGGAGAGATGCACGAGTACACGTAACCCACTGAAAGCAATGAAAATGACTGTACAATTACAAGGCAGCCAAATTTTGACTTGGTTTATAACATCTTTTCAATGGTTGATGCTGTAGGGGGTTCGGGGGGAGAGATGCACGAGTACATACAACCCATTGAGAGCAATGGCAATGGCTGTACAATTATAAGCCAGCTAACGTTTGATTTGATTTATAACATCTTTCCAATGGTTGCTCAATTTGAAACCATCCTCTCGGTTGAAGTTGTGTCTGTTTGTATATCTGGATGGCTTCATGGACAAATCTCTGGTAATAACCGGGAGGTTTGCAGAGAACTTTGGTATCAGAGAAGACAATGTCATGAGAACCCGCTGTGTTGAAACAATGATCAGCCACGGCCGAAGAATTCGTTCTGCCGTGTTTCAAATCTGATTTGTGCTCGCGGATTCGGTCAGAAATATGTCGTTTCGTCTCCCCGATATAGCAGTCACCGCAGGTACAACTCAATTTGTAAGAGATATGTGGATGACACTTTTGTCATTTGGCCACATGGCCTCCCAGCATTGAACCATTTCCTAGACCACATTAATTCCAGACACCCATTCATCAAATTCACCATGGAAGTGGAGAAAGATGGCAAGCTGCCATTCTTGGATGTTCTGTTTGAGAGGACTGATGGCTCTTTGGGACATTCTGTTTACAGGAAGTCCACCCACACAGACTCCTACTTGAAGCCTGATTCCCACCACCACCCGACTCAAAAGAACTCTCTCATCAAAACATTATACCATAAGGCTCATTGCATTTCTGACCAACACCACCTGGCCAGTGAATTAAAACATGTAATCTGGCCCTCAAGATGAACGGATACTCTGACCGTACCATCCGCCAAGCTGTTTCTCCCACCATAAAGAAACAACCACCTGATACTCCGATCAAAATCATCACGTTACCATACATAGCAGGCGTTACTAAAAAGATTTCCAAAATTTTAAACAAACACAACATCCAGGTCCGGTTCAATACAGTACACAAAATCCGTGATCTGATCCCATCCGTAAAGGATGTCATTCCTGACTTACAGTACCCCGGTGTTTACAAATTGAGTTGTACCTGCGGTGACTGCTGTATTGGGGAGACGAAACGACATATTTATGACCGAATCCGTGAGCACAAATCAGATTTGAAACACGGCAGAACGAATTCTTCCGCCGTGGCTGATCATTGTTTCAACACAGCGGGTTCTCATGACTTTGTCTTCTCTGATACCAAAGTTCTCTGCAAACCTCCCGGTTATTACCAGAGATTTGTCCATGAAGCCATCCAGATATACAAACACAGACACAACTTCAACCGAGAGGATGGTTTGAAATTGAGCAACCATTGGAAAGATGTTATAAATCAAGTCAAACGTTAGCTGCCTTATAATTGTACTGCCATTGCTCTCAGTGGGTTGTATGTACTCGTGCATCTCTCCCCCCGAACCCCCTGCAGCATAACAAAATGGTGTTTTACCCGTTTTCGTGCAGTGCCACCACCGCTACCCCCGAACCCCCTGCAGCATAACAAAAGGCGGCTTAACTCAGCCCTCCCCCCCACCCACGTCCCTTCTTGGCTCCTCCCCCCCCCTTAACATCTATATAATCCCGGCTGTCTCAGAGCTGTCAACTTGACACAGATATTCTGCTATGACTGTTCCACCTGAAGACGGACGCTTGTGTTGCCTCCGAAACGTCATGATTTAATTTAGTTGGTTTTTTTTATTTAATTTTACCTACGTGACTTTACCGAAAAAAACAGAGTGAATACGGAGCAAGCCATGCGGAACAGCAGGAGAGCTTATAAAAAGCTAGTCCAGGAACTGCTTACTGTAAGGCACCAGTGTCGTCACCACTGCGCCACCTTGCAGCCCTGTAATCCGAGTTAAATAAAATTATTATTGCTTATGGCTGAGTCATTAGCGACACATATGGAGTACTTGCAATTTCGATACCTGTACAGATGTTAGTGTCACCATATGGCGTGTGTTTGTGTCTGTGTATTCAACAGCATTCCCATCACACAAATGGATTTCCCAGCACTGGGCTTCACGGTCTGCACTCCCTGGCAGCCGCCTATGCAAAAGTACCCAGAGGGGCGCCATCGTCCTCGGGGCCCAACCCTCCAGCCCAAACGCCTGTCACCTCCCCACCCAGCCTTCGTGCCCCACAGGCCGACCACATTCCCGCCCTCCCATCCTCTAATTCCTCCCTCCGCTCGGTGTGGCGCTCCTTTGGCTTCAGAGACGGCCCTCTCACACCCGAGAGGCGGGTTGGCCACAGCCTTCCTGTTGTGCCCCCTGCAGCAGTGGACCCTGGCAATGCCAGAACCCCTCCAGAGGGGCCCTCGCAGCCCACCATGCCTGCCTGTGCCGCTGGGAAGCCAACCGCGGCCGAGCGGCCGCAGATGGAAGAATCCACATCTGTGCTGCCAAAACCAAAACCAAAACCCGGTGGTGAAGATGAGCCGACTGATTCTGGAAAAGCTGCCACAGAAGTAAACAGGAGAGAGGGGGTCGACGGCCACCTGCATCAGCACAAGGGACGATTGGGAGTGGAGGGCAGTGGCTTAGAGGGCCCTCGATGTCAGCAGCGAGCACCTTCGGAGGAACCACCATGGCCCAACAGGAAATGGCCTTCGTTACAGACACCATCGTCGGTCATGCGCCACGACGAGACACAGAGGGCGCCGCTCCACCCACCACCCTTCCGGCACGCGGCAGCACCCTCCATCTTGGAGAGCGGACGGTCGCCGCCTGTTCCGGGCAGGATGGAGCTGGCGCCGTATCCGCCGCTCTCTCCGTCAATGGTCTCCACCACTACGCAGCGACCCCCAGGGGCTTCCAGCCCGAAGCCATTCGTCCATGGAGTGCCGCCGTTCCTGCAAGCTGCATCCAGCAGCAACTCCTCGGGGATATCCGCTGAAGCGAAACCACGTGCCGACAGTTCGGAGGCCTTCCTCGAGTCCAGAACGTGTGACAACAGCATTCTCGATCAGTCCCATGGCAGGAATCCCCCCGAATCCCCATGCCCTAATCCACACGTCACGGCCATTACCCATTCGTCAAATGTGCCCTCCAGGGAGCTGCCTACCGCCCATTTCTCAAGTGGTTCCTGGCTCAAAGTCTCTTCGACAAACCCAATAGGCAGCCAGGGCGTGAGAAGTCTTCTGCTAGAATGTCTGAAACCACCCCCGCAGCTCGGATCCACGGTGGCGGAGGCTTCTCCTCGCGTGCCAAGCCTTGGTGCCTCAGGGGTACCTGGAGGTGAGTGACAGTGCGATCGGTGTCAATCCAGGCAAATGTGCAAAAACATTGCTGATTTATTGTTTAAACTACCATTTTACACAGTCAAATTGATCTCGTTTACAGCCCAGAGCCAAGGTGAAAATTACACATTCCCATGACAGGGACGAGTATATCTATAGGACAACCACTGTGGATTTCTATTATTAGGAAGCCACTACAGCTATGCACTTTTAAATCTCAATTGAAAACTCATTTAATTTTGTGTTTAGTTTTCATTTCGTTTTTTGTCCTTACCCTGCACCTATGGTGCGAAAATAAGTTCAAGTTCACCATACAAAGTGGTTGCTATTTTATCGACCCTGGAGGGATGATGATGGGTTGAGTCAACCCCCAATGAGGATTTGAATGCACAACCTTTCAGATTTGAAGCTACTCGCTCTCCCTCTGACCCGAGACACCATCTCACTACTGAATCGACTTTAAAACATCTCATTCCATTATTCTACCGCGCTCTCCATGTTGCCCTTGACGCCCCCTATAGAACGCATCATTGCAACCTGTACGTGAACTTAAATCTTTCCCCACTGGATATCCGGAGAGACCACCACTGGGCTGTGTTCATCCTAAATTGCCTCTTAAACAAATTTTCCAATTCTCTGAAGGAACACTTAGTTCCTCGAACTCCCTCACATAGCTTCAGTAGTACCTCATTCCCACTAAAAATACCTTTTGCTAAAACTTTGGTAAAAAGTCTTTCTGCGTTGCTGCTTTAATTTCTTGAATACCTTTGCCACCCATCTACAGCTTGGTTCCCTTTCTTCACTGCCCCTCTTTATTTTCATATTAAACCGAAACACAGAGCTTCCTTGCACCTGCATCTAACTTTTTCTGGCACTGCTTGCCCCCACACGTGTGTGCTGTAATCTTCGATTCTCGTGTGTTTCATTTATGACTGTTACCTCATTTGTGAGTTGTGCAATATTCCTTTAGGACCCTGTGCTCGTTCTCTGCAATATTGAAGTTTTAGTTTTTTTTGCACTGCTGCTGCGGTCACGGGCCACGGATCTCACTTCTAAAGTAACCAGGCACCTGCCAAAATGGGATCAGCCATGTAACAAATCAAATTAAATTGAACTAAATTAGCTTTGATGTTTGCTATACCATACTTTTTAAAATTCCCTGTCAGTCTGTGCTTAAAGCTGTTTTTTTCTTTGAAGGCGGTGAACATTTGCTCGGAGCTCGGTTCTGTTGAGATTCAGAAATATGCAATTGTGTTGATTTACAGGTGGTGGCTTCAGCCAGGGCCTTGGCGATGGGGAGGATGCTGGCAACGAAAGAAGCAGCCTCGCTCCACAGCCGCCACCAACGCCGTCGCTGCTCCGTGCCGTTGAGACAACCCAAAGCTCTCCTAATATTGGGCCCTCGCAGCACAAAGTTGGGCAGCGCAAGCGAGACAAAGCTGGAAAGCACAAGGCTGTCGAGTCGGAGCTAGCAGGCTCTGGGAGAGAGGGGGATGGTAAGAAGGAGGCGAAGAGAGAGGAGCGCAGTGACAGGGAAAGACTCAAAGCAGGGAGGAAGGCCAGGTTGTCCGGGAAGGACGAGTACCAGCGGCCAGAGCCTCGCATTACTGACGTAATGTTCAAGCAGAAGGAAAGCGGAGACTGCGCGGACGAGAGGGGATGGGGTGATATCAACGGCAAGGCCGGTGCTTCGGCTGCACACAGCGGAGTCAGAAGCCAAGAGAGGTCGAAGGACACGGGTGCGGCAGGACAGACTAGAACGGGCGCCAGCGATGTTGCCACCGCCCGGAACTCCGTGCTGCACATGTTCTCCGACACACGACACGCTGCCAGCACTGTGAACGCCGTCTCTCCGGCCAGCAGCCAGCCGGCAGTGTCCTACGGCACTGCCTACGGCCTGCAGCATGGCATCGGCCACGGCTATAGGATGAGTCCGGTGCAGTACCAACAAGTGCAGTACCAGCAGCACCTCCTGGGGCAGATGTCACGCCACCCCTTTTACCTGTACGAGCAGCACCGCCCAGCGCAGACCGGGCCTGCCCCCCCCCCCGTGAGCCTGGCCTCTGCCCACCCCCTTGGGTACCTGAGCCAGCACGTGCCCCCCATGGAAGCGCATGGGGATCTGGGGAACAGGATGCCCCTTGCCATCAACAGGGAGGCTGACCCCTTGCTCTCCTACCCCCTGTCCTCCGCTATGGCCTCCGCCGTGAGACTGGACTCCAGCAAGCATCCGGCACAGGAGAGGGGAGTCAGTGACAAGGGGCCAGAGTTTGACAAACGCCGCGGGGAGAACGCTGGCTCGGATGGCGGCGGCGTGGCCGCGGAGGATGACGAGCGGCCCGACAGCCCCAAGCAGATCCTGGACCTGGACAGCCACGCGGCACACACACGCTGGCAGAGGGCCATGGCGGCTACCACAGCCCAAGCCGGCGTCTCAGCCATCGCGTATGGGCCCGCCGTTGTGGCGGCCAACAAGCAGGTGGCCCTCGGCCGCCCTCACCACGCGGCGGCTCACCGCCAGCCCGGGCCTTCGCCTCACCAGCACCCGCCTCAACGGGGGCCCGCACCGCCGCAGTTCTACGGGAGCCCGCCGTACGGCCACCTCCATGCCCACCCGTCCCACCACCCCCACCATCCCGGTTTGCACGTGGCCGGCGGGGCATCCGGAATGCCGGGCCCGCACTATGGCATGCTGAACCCCCCCCCCCACGTGGGGCCTGGCCAGCCGGGCTTGCCGCGGATCCCCGTCTCATACGGGCAGCCCACGGGGCGAGTGAGCGCATTGGAGCAAGCGGACGGGCGCATGGGCCATCACCTCCGCATGCTTATGCAGCAGCAACAGCTGCCAGGGCACAGCCCAGTCAGGCACAGCAAGCATGACCAGGGGTGAGTCGTCTGTGGTGCTGAGTCTGCCAAACAACTCCCCAGATGGGGGATCTTTATTTTTGTATACGCATGTGCGTTAGCGGGTGCCTGTGTGCGTGTGGGGGACTGTAGTTTAGCAGTGTGAGTGTATCAGGGGTAGCGGTTAGTGTGCTGCGCTATGAAACCGACGAACCCATTTCCACTCCTGGCCAACATTGGTGACGAATACTTGAACCAGTCCTGGGCCTCCCCTAGGTTGACTCAACCTCAAATGAGTATACGGTGCGATGTCTAAAGAATCTCCACGAGGGAGACAAAGGCGTCCAAGCGTGGTGCTAGCCACTCACCCCCTCGGGTGCTGTTTCAGGCTTCATAGGTGCTTGCTATAACAGCACTTGCCCCGACACCTTGTTAAGGCTATATGGGGGATATTTGTCTTTGTGTCTGTGTGGGGAGCTGTAATATAATGGTTATTGTGCTGTGCTATGAAGCAGACAACTAGAGTTCGATTCCCTCACAGCCAACACCAATGTTACGATTATCTGAACAGGTCCTGGGCCTCCCCTAGGTTGACTCAGCCTCAATTGAGTATCTGGTGCCCCCTCGTGTGCCATGCCGGTCTTCATAGGTGCTCACTGACAGCACTTGCTTCAACAGCCTATGTCGACTATATGGGGGATATTTGTCTCTGTGCCTGCCCCAGACTGCCGCACAGAGAGGTGGAGCGGGCGGTTGGTGGCTCCATGGGGCCCGTGGCTCGCGGCGCGGCCCCCACCGCTCAGGTCTGTGCTGCTTCTTTCACATGCACACTCTGTGGTTGTTCAGTTGTAACTACCAAACCGATAACCGTTAAACTGGTAACTGTTTTCAAAATCGATTACCGTTTCCAAAAGTCGGGAACCGGCGATTGTTTCCAGTGGAATGCGAGTGATGAACGCCCCTGAAAGGTCAAGGTGCAGCCCTGCAATTATTTGCTCACTTATGCCTTCACTCGTGTGAACTCTAAAGGGTAATTGATCTACTCTTCCACACTTGACCAGACGTTTTGGAAGAAGTGGGAGTATCCACACATTAGCCCACTACACGTGACGTGCCCATTGGACTAACTGTGGTGGTACCCATTTATACTACTGGGTGGACATAGGCGGAGTGGATTGAAGAAAGCTCTGTATTGTTGTTTGTTGGGAGATATTTGTGGCAAGTCTCGTTTGCAGGAGTAACCTGGGGGCATTAGTGTGCTGCCAGTAGGGAGGGGGTGATGATTGCTCCTGTGTGATCCCAATTGAAAACGTTAATTCACAGGACACACAATGGTCTAACTCGACTGAATAACGTCATGGAGTCTTTAACATTGTCCATTGTGAGTAGAAACAGACGGCACGTGGTAACATGGTCAAGTGTTACACGTCATTGTTAGTTTTAATGTTAGGGTTAGAAACACTTAAGTTTGTGCTTTATAGTTACCTGGATGAAAAGTGAATTAAGTTTTGGCCCAATCCTGGCCAGCTGGCTCAAAACCCTAATAAACTGAGTAGATAACTGTTTTTTTCATGCGGTTACCAATAATGACTTTTTTTTCACAACCCTCATGCAGTCTCTCTCTTGAGTTACCCTCTGCCAAGTTGCTGAAGTCAATGCATGCTGCGATGCCGCGTCTCGCCCTCGTCTCAACCGTTCTTATTATTCAGATTAGTTTACCCGAGAGCCTCTGTCTCAACACTTTTTCAGGAGGGACTCACAAAGTTTTTGCAGTAGGGGGCGATGCTTGCTGTTTTCCACCAATTAAGAAATTTGCTGTCATTTTTTATTTAAACCATTACGCCAGCACACAATGGCAACGCTTTTTAGAAAAATATCATGTGATCTTTAACATCTGCTGTAAGTACACGGAGCATAAAATTTAGTGGATTTGTCTGCCGTGTTTACCAAGGTGACCTGCCAGATTCAAACCTCTGCAACATGCGGCGAGTGTGCTACCGCTCGTCCATGTCACCGCATTTTATGCAGGTTCCTGAAATTTGCGTGACTTTGATACATGAGCCTGCAGATTCGTTGTCATGGAAGTGTTTGTTATGACTTGTTCCACAGCCCTAATGGTGAGCGGTGAGGAGTGACCCAAAGCGGCTGCGACAACACTGGAGTACATAGGGGGGGTTGTTAACTGGGCAAGATCTGCACGGGAAGACTCCACAAAGCAGCAACGGAGGCTATGAGAAGACAGAAGCTCACTCTAGTTTGTCCTGACATGGTGTCTCCCCGCAGCACCTCTCACGCACTCCCTCTGCTGCGTGCCCCAAAATTCCTTGTTTTCTCAGGAAAATTCTGACTGTGTATAGTAGAGTGAATTCGAGGTCACGCCACTGTCATTTTTCCTCGATGCTCTGCTACAATTTCTTCAGGTATCTCATGTTGGTCCAATATTCCATGAAACGTGCATCTCGAGGTGAAATAGCCCCTCGAGTGGTTGATTAAGGGCATTTTTACTGGCCAATTGCCATTGATATTTTGCCCATGTGGCAGTAATGCAATGCTAGTCTAGTCTGTGGTAAACTAGCCGAGCATTTGGCTGTGTGGACACCGTCCAGTAGCGTACGACAAGAGAAGAGTTGCCACTGTAGTTGTCAACGGTCCATTGAAACCAGATCAGTTGCATGTCGGTGTCCTCCCAAGATGCAGCAGCCCAGTAGCCCCTGCACTTCGACGCAGACTCATAGACAGGACTCATGTGCTCGACACATCTCAGGATCATTGTACCGTCATATTTAAGCAATAAGTGGTGTTGGGGCGACGGGATTTTGTGCTGCCATTACCAGCGGCACCCAGCAAAGGCCTTGACCATCGCTATCACAGAGTGAAGCTGTAGCTGGGCATTTTGTAATTTTAACAGCTGTCACCACGCAAACCTCTTAAGATATTTAAACATTACATGTTTGAGTCTGAGTAGATTCTCAAGAAGGAAGCAAAGCCTTACATGGGCATCTTTGTCAAAAGGGACTCTTGAATGTGTGTGTCCTTGTGCTACCGTTACTGAGGAGAACAAATAGCGCCCACGGGTCTCTATGCAAAGCCAGGGAGAGGTTGCAGGCCCTGCGCGACCAAGGGCCCTGGCGCAGGTGGCGCCGCGCGTCTCTGGCAGACAGTGGCCCTCACCCTTAGCGGCAGTGCCGCACTGGCGGTTTCCCGCTGACCATTATTTAATAGATGTATTACAATGACGATAATCCTTTACGAACAAACGTCCGTTTTTACAAGTAGCGCGTAGGACAGCATCTGTGTGCCTCCTGTGAGGGGGCATCCAGCTGTGAGTTGGCGTCCGCGTTCGGTCCCTGTTTTTATCTCGGGTTATCGTCGCTCAGGGACCCAGGGGCACAGCGTGCTCGGAGAATATGGCCAAGCAACGCTGATGGTGATGGGGCCACGCGGTGGCACTCTTGCCTGCGAACCCATCCGGCAGCTTCGGGCCTCTGGAAATGTGGCCACCAACATGCGCTTTTCTGTCTCAACTTGTCCAGCGGATTCTCTCGTGCGTCGTGGTTTATGCAGGTGGCACGGTCCAGTAATATTAATTCCTCACTCGAGTTATGTGTTATTTATGCGGCATGCAGAGGCAGCTGTGGTTTTAATATTTTTTTTTCCAATTTCGGGATCTCATTCCCGATGGTGTTACGAGCATAATAAAGTACATAGCAGTGAGGCAGCAACTGGAAAGATTAAGTCTTAGAGCTCCTTACAGGATGACCACTCCAGAGTGCATGTGTGTGAGCCTCATGCTGGCTGTTAGCACACACAGCATGAGGCTTTCTTTTGTGATAATTTTAATGCAGTTTAGTCAACCTTAGTTTACTGTAAAAAATGTCTTAAATGCGAGAGGTTTCCTTATGAAATTCCTTAAATTTTTGTAACATATGCCTTGTAACTACAATAGACTGCAACGTGGAAATAGGAGAGAGTCTCCACGTGAACTGACAAGTGTGGCGCAACTCGCCCTGGGTAGCCGGGTGGTGCACTGGTAACACTGGCGCCTCACAGAAAGGACCTGGGTTTGATTCCCGACTTAGGTGCCTTTCTGTGTACAGTTTGTATGCTCTCCCCATGTTCTGCATGGGTTTTCTCCGGGTTCCCCGGTTTCCTCCCATAATTTAAAAACCCATACAATGTAACTGGTATTGCTGAAATGTCACTTAACCACTGACTGTCGTGGCTAAAAAGCAAGAACAAAGACACAATGGAATTGTACAGAAAAAAACGAGTGACCGATAACCTTGCATATATTAACAAGCTTAGCCATCTCCTTACCTCTAAAAAGATGAGTCGATGCTCTAGCTCCTTAACGCTAGCAGGTCTGTTTAACTCTAGCAGGTCTGTTTAACACGTAGAGTTTCACACCCAATGTTATGATTTATTATTTGAGTCAGATCACGGGGGTACAATGCCCATTTGTGTCGTACACCCTTCTTCACCCGACACAGACAATGGGCGTCCCGGCCTTTTCTCATGTGGCCCCTTTGGCTGTGAAATTCACTTCTATGAGATATTCAGTCTGCCGAGTCCCTCTTTATTTAAATCTTTCCTTAGGACCCATTATTTCTCAAAGGCATTTTCACTTCACTAATAATCATGTATTTTCACCCATGGGGTGTTCTCATCACGAACATGCATGGCTGTTATTATGTTTTCACTATTTGTTAAGTTATTTATGTTTATGCTCCATACAACACCTTGTCACCTCAGGGTGTAAGGTTCTTTACAAGTGTAAATTATTATTAAACGTGCCAATTTGTATTGAAGAGCAGGTCCTCAACATTTTACAATTTTATTCACAATGTTGAGCGTTGTGGGTTGTTCTTCAATACACCATTGCACTGAAGTTATAAAAATAGGTGCGTTTGTTCATGTGACAACTTTATTTGGCAATCGATTGGAGGAGGGTGTACGACACACATTAATATCACAATCGTTGGATCTGACCCAAAATATTCAATTGTGAATCTAACAAGTCTGGCCCTTGTTCTCGTCGCAGACCTCAGGCTAGCCTACCTTTCTAGGTCTTGGTTTGCACCGGGGGTCGAAGTAAGGCTGGACACAGTTCCACGCCGACCCGTGCCATGGCCACTGCTGCTCGCGGAGCCTGGTTTCTCGGGTGACCCAAGTGCGACCACCGCTGTTCTACCTCACCCTGCGTCCACCCTCCCTAATCCCTGCCCGCCAGGCTGTTTTGGTTTGGCAAGGTTAACTCGGGCTCATGGACGTTTACAACGCAAGAATGCGATCGCTGACCGAGCCTGGCTGCGTGTGGACAGAACCACGGGTCACCTCATCTCACGCGTCACTTCATCAAGGGAGGGCGGGGGGGCGCATCGGGCACAGTGTGTCGCTGAGCTGTTGTCTTTAACGAAGAGTGCTGTAGCGGTTACACTTGTCAGGAATTTAGAATGTTACATGTAACTTTTCGTTTTAAACTGATGTCAACTTTGCTTTGTCAATTCGGTTATGTGTTTGTATGTCAGGGACGCTGTACAATAAACCTTTAATTAAGGCTGGTGACATTGCATGACTGACACTGCGGGGGTATCGGGGCAATGCATGGAGTCGGATGGAAGGGGGGGGGGGCAGGTTTAGGCGGCCGATGGAGCATATCGCCCCGATTCCCAGATCAGAAGGGGTGCAAGTGTGGTTTGCCTCAGCCCTCCCAGTGGACATGAATGCAATCCTGGGAATGAGTTTGTGGTCGATGGAGCGCCAAACCCTTCTACTTTCACCCATAGCACCGCAGCCCAGCAGGAGGCCCAACACCATCCCTATCCCCAAGCTTTATCCCAAGCCACAACTCTTATCTCTAACCCAACACCACCATTAACCCTATCCATGTGACTACTATCTCCAAGGCTCCCTATTACTAGCACTAACCCCAACACGAACCCTATCCCTGATTTTATGATAATTTTACCTTATATCACGCACAATATTCAGTCACTTTCGCACCTACGATTAGCACGGTTGGATATGTATGGTGCGAAAGACGTTCAACATACATAAATTAGGTATTTCGTAATCGTAAATGAAATGTGCGGATCGAAAATAAAATTGCAAACTGTGAGAGCACGAGGTTCCAGAAAATGTGATGTACATGTGCAAGCTCTGCTTTAATAGCAACATAAATAGGGGGACTGAAGGGAGGGAACCAAGCTGTAGTTGAGAGGCAAGTGTATTCCTGAAAATTGAGCAGCAAAGCAAAAATGCTTCTTACCAAACAAAGTTTTAACAATTGAACATTTAGTAGGAATAAGGAGGCACTTCTGATGCTATGGAAGGGAGTTGAGGAAGTGGTAATTGGCGGATTTTTTTTGTAAGAGGACGTTTAGGATGAGCACAGCCCAGTGGTGGTTCTGTATTTTTCCAGAGTGGACAGTGTTAGATTCTACAAGGGGCAAAATAGAAGGCGGAGTCGGCGTCAATCCGGAACTGTCCGGGGCTGAGCCCCAGAATATATCCCCATCCCTCCGCTGTCAGCATAGTGGGGGAGCGTTGTCTGGCGGGGTGGGGGGCGAAGGAAGATGCATATTGTTGGGATCTCAACCCCAGGCAGCTCTGGATAAAGTTAAGTCGTGACTTGCATACGACATTTGTTGAAGAGGAATTAATTTGTAACTTTCTGCTCCTAAAAATATTCCACGAGAAAGGCACCCCGGGTGGAGGTCGCCAATGACGGCGCCTCACGCGGTTGTGACGAATATAAATGCCGCGTCCATAATTACATATCACGCTTTTCGTCAAGGATCTCAAAGCGATGTACAGGGCACAGCAGCAAACACTCAGCATAAAAAAATATATAAATACATTTAAAAAATAAATTACTCAAAATCCATGCCGGAGGGGTGGCTCACGGCGGGGTGGGGCGTCCCTCGTCTGCTCTCAGACGAGAGGGACGCCCCACCCCGCCCCTTAGTCACGTGCTGCCGCCCGCATTTGCTGCAGTGGAAATAACCGATCACGCCGCGATCACGTGAACATATCGCTCTCATTGGCCCACGCACAATCACACGATCACTTCTTATTGGCTATAGTGTCGGGTGCCCGCCCTCTTTCCCCGCGAGCCGCGCCCTTATTGGTTACTTGGAGGGCACGGCCCCCGAATACGCGCTTATAAAAGCGCGTCTCGTTGGGCGAGGCGACCGAAGCCAGGCGGATATAGCAGTGGAAAGTCTGTGTTAATCTGATTCAAATTTATTCATTCATTATTTCTGAATTAATTACGACTGCTATAAGAGACTTCGGTCGTGTTGGCTTCATTACCAGGCGAACAGCGCAGACGGCGTTACTAAGTACAAGAGAGACAGGGTTTATACGGAACCATATAGTGCACAGGGAGCATAGCACAGCAATTAACTCATTAAGTAAGGGTTATTAGTCTATAAGACAGAAACTAAGTACGTGTACTGCAGATTAGATTGCAAACTACTTCCGATCAGCACTGTTGGTTACGTACGGTGCGAAAGAAGTTAATCGTACTTAACAGACAGGCTACTGGCTGCACTCGACACGGTGACTTGCAGAACCAGAGTACAAAAGAGACGGTGATTATTTAATTTTCATTTAAGAGTACGGCACGAACGCAGATACCGAAGTAGCGTAGACTGGGTTACTCTGTATCCAGAGCAAGTACTACAGACGAATACGAAGACCAATTAGTTATAGAGTATATTACTTCGTATTCTAGACTCCAAAGCAAAAGCCACTGAGTGCACGCCACACGACGACTTGCATCTGAGTAGTAGTTTGAGACGAAACATTGAGGGTAGCTGGACAGACCTCATTGAGTACTGGGACCATTCGAGTCGAGACTCGACCCGTCACAGCAGACCCCGACCGCCGCTTGAGAGGACTGCTGTGGACATCGTCGACTAAAGCCGCCTCACAACCTCGGTGATGAGCCACCTTGCATCGCAGGACATGTCTTTAATATTGCGTTGTGCTTGTGTAGTAGTTATGGTTTATTCCGAAACGTGGCTGTTTTTGTTTTTATCAATTTGTTTCATTGTGCTTTACAGTAATGTATTTTGTTATGGTGACGCGTGACGCTTTCAAATGAGCCTCGTATCCTGGTCTCTCGAGTTCTCACCTGGGTAAACAAACGTGTGGTTTGAAGCAAGAGTGGTCCCTGTGGCCAGTAGCAGAAACGCTTTAAAATATCTCTTAATAGCCGTTGATTGAAATCGGAGCGTAGGGGGTTTGTGTTTGGTGTGACTGTATCCATGGAGAGGCTTCAAGTTTGTTTTGTCTAACGAGGGTAGAACTCAAGAGACTAGGAGAGTCATTGGCGTGATCTGGGTCATCACAATCACGAGCAATCGCGCATAGCGATGCACTCACTGACCCCAAGTGAGCCGAAGTAGGGGTGCTGAGCTGGATGAGAGACGAGGGGTACCCCCAGGGTGATTCCGTAACACGATACAACTCTGGCAAGTACTTACGGAGTTACTGAACCTGGCACGGAAACGCGAGGCGGCCATTTATTGTGATGGGACAGAGCTGAGAAGCGAGATCCGAGATGCGGTGCCTCTTGGCTCTTAAGTGAGGTCGCCACAGTTTGTAAACGTTACAGAATCATAAGTTTATTTCCCGACTAAAGGTAAAGCTAAGAAGCTTTTCAAGGGCGACTCGGCAGGCAGACATCAAGTCATTCCGCAATTACATATTTAAAGAAACTTAATAGCAATTATGTTATAGAAGACACCCTTCTGTGTTTAGTGTTCGTGTTGCCCGCGTATGGATGATGGCATTTAGCCATTGCGTAGCGTGGAATGTTCGAGACGGCGGTCTCTGTGGTGCAGGGTGGGATTAGGTGTGGAGGGGGGGCTTGGAGGACGTGGTGAAGAGTGCAAGAGGGGTGGTGGTGGAGAGGTGAGTTGGTAGTGGTTATGGTGACGTGTAATAGTTTGCAATGCAGTTGGTGGTGGAGGATATCCTGGATGGGGTTTTGGTCGTAGAAGGATGTTGGTGTTAGTGGTGGAAGGTTCGGGTGATATTGGTAAATGTAGGGTGGCTTCGATTGTTCTGGAATGCGGTTGGTAGTGGAGGCTTTGACCGATTGTGAACGCGTAGTTTGATCGCTGAACCGATCACTGTCCACTATCCCATTCCATGGAATACGGGAGCCCCTACAAACCCTGCCAAGCCCCATCAAGCAACGCCTCGTTCTTTATGACCTATGACGCACAGTGGAAGTGGCACGACGAAAGTCGACTCGTTTAGTGCGCTTTGTATAACGGGGGCATGGCCTCTTGTGCTGATCATCAGAGAAAGTTTTAAATTGAAAGCTAGAGAGATTGTGACTATTAAGGGTGCATGTGGCAGGGTAACGCGAGACGGGCAATGGTGTGCCTTCTGAGGGTGGGGGGGATAGCCACATTCCTGTGGGTTCGTGACCACCTTGTGTGCTGGAGCAGCTCAACTTTAGCTTCGTATCACTGCGTCTTTACGTTCACATTAACATACACTTTTTTACATTAGTTGTTTTTGTCAGGTGAGAACTCAAGAGACCAGAAGTTTTACATTTTCACGAGTGACGCGGGTAACTAAATTTAAGGAGTTGTGACATTTGAACCCTTATTGGTAGAATAGATGCACATCCACATGCTCGGTGGTCAAAAGTTGCCGCATTGATACAAGTAGTAGGTCCATGTATTTAATATTTGTTATCGCTGGCTGTGGTGGTGCCGCTGGTGTATTAGGTCTGTTTAGGTCAGGAATGTGTTTGGGTCACTGCTCGTGGTGACACAGGATCTTATTAGTCTCTCAACTTTAATCTGGTGGCTTTAGCGGCAGACCGTGGTGATGTCATAAATTCCATGTGAATGGAGCGATGCGTTTCCGTTGTTTCCACAGTATCTTGTTTCCACAGTCTCATACTTGTTAGCACATGCCTTGTGCCAAATGCTCTTGAGTCACGCTTCAGACATGAACCAATAATGTGGTCGGTACCTGATTCGAGTGGTGGTGATGTAATGCGTTGGAAATGTAAATAACCGCACTCGCGTGCAGTGCTATATATCCATTGTGGGAGTTCAATTTACATGCAGTGCCGAAGATGTTGACATACGCTAGGGGATGCGTGTGTTTAGAAGTGGTACCTCCCTGCAGCGCAAGTGAATCGGCTGGAGAAGACTGGCAGTCCACTGTAGTTTTCTGTCTTCATCAGTGGACTTGGGTAGGACGCGTTATGAGGATAAGGGACACGATGGTCAAGACTAATAATGGAGTGGCAGCCATGGAGTAAAACGCAGATGGATTGTTGCTTCGCAAGATCATGAAAGCTTGCGGGAACTTGGGGGTACGTCTTCATGCAGCAGAGGGCTTGATCATGGCTTATGATGAATTCCATTCGTCCAAACTTTTTTTGGGTTAGGTCGATCTAACACAAAGAAATACCTCGTGGATAATATTGGTGGCGAAAGCCTACGTGTTAAAATTCCATAAATGTTGAGCTCATCTTTCTACTGTCCATCGTGATTTAAGCACCCTCGGTTTCTGACTACAGTATG